GGGTTGGTTTGTCTTCCCTTCGGGGTTGTTCTGGGACCGTTGTTTGGGATTGTCCTGTCACCTCATATTGGGTGGTGCTGGCAGAGCCGCTCCTGCTTGTGTTCAGTGTTGCGGTTCCTTCTGCTCCAATCCACTTGCTGTCCTGGGCATTGTTCCCCTCTGGCCTGCTCTTGAGTTTTGGGGCCGTCCTGGTCGTTGACCTGGGTGGTCTTTTTCTTCTCGTTTTGGTCTTTGTTTTGTCTCTGGTTTTGGTTGTTCAGTTAGGACGTGTGGTATCTGCCTCCCGGTTCCTTCCCTGTTTTACTTATCTTTTGGTAAGATAAGTAAAGGTCTGCGCAACCTTTCCCCCCAGAAAACCAGCGTTGAATGTAATGAAACGCCATTTTCTGGGTGAGTCCCGGAGGCTCCCCGGCATCCCTCCCTCCTTCCGGTCTGCAGCGTTTTCGCGTCTTTTGACATCCAGCCTAAGAACTGCCAGTTGGATTGCCGGCGTGGAGGGTCTGGGGCTCCCCCTTCCCCCTCTCGGGGAGTGGGGGGGGGGGGAGGGTTGCGCAGATGGTGGCGCGGCGACGTGATGATGTCATGCTAGTTTGATAATTTTGTTTGGGGAGTTCTGTCCACTCGTTCGGCTTTCGGTAGCAATAATTTCACCAGAACAGGGGTTTGTTTTGGGGCGCCTACCTTTCTGGGTGCCTGTCCCGGTCGATGGCAGACATAGAATGCTCCCAATCACAAGGGGGTTTCTATAGGCCATTGCTCCTCGTGCCTCGCTGAGGGGGGCCAGGTTCTGGCTCGTGGTCCCGGGTAGGCAAGAACTCCTAGCACTTTGACTGATGCCAGAAAGTTATACATATCCATTCAGCCTGGATAGCTCCGGGGAGCCTTCGGGACTCACCCAGAAAATGCCGTTTTATTACATTCAACCCTGGTTTTTTACAATTAAACTGTTCCTCCCGGACAGACCCCCACTTGTTATGAGTTTATAGGGCTGCTATGGGGGGTCTACTGTCTTATGGAGAAGGGTCAGCAGTTAGAATCAAGATGTAACAGGGTAGTGACACAATTAGGCCCGGCCCCCAAGGAACATAGGTTCCTGTTTATGATTTAAGGTTTTAGAACAGATCTGACATCTGGGATACAATCAACTACGTCACTACAACAGGAGTAATAGATACACCTCAAAAACTAACTTATTTATTAAACCCTCTTAACACTTTCGCCCGGGCATGACGCAGCATTGCGTCATCCGTTTACTGTCGGTAATACCGGGGATGACGCAGCATTGCGTCATCCACTTTAAATAATCGCCAAAAATCAGGTTTTTATCCGATTTTTTGGGGACTGGTTTTAAAATGTGCGCCGATGTCTTCCCATTTTCTTTGTTGAGCCTCGTGGCCCTCAGGTGGCTTGGCATATGCCTTGGGCCCATTGTTTTCGCTCCACTGTTGTGACCAATGTCGCCTCCCCTCGCATCTCAAACGTGTGAACATTTCGGCTATTTTCCGTGGCTATATTTCTTACTGCGGCTTTAGAAACTATCTACCCTTACTCCACGATGGATAGTGATCATGAACAAGGCCCTTCCAGGAAGAAAATTGCGAAAGAAAGGCTTGAAAAGGGAGGGAATTGGGAGTGTAGCTGGAAGGTGTCTGAGTGCTCACTCCCGGCTAACGCGTGGCCCGTCTTCAACTTGTCGGCGGTTGGAGCGTGACCAGGTTTTATATTTTATATGCTAATGTTCCTCTAGAGAATTCTATTGCGAACCCATTGAGACCAAAATGAAAGACCTAGGACAAAAATTGAGGTGACCAGAGTGAAAATAGTGAAAACATTTTATCGCGTTTGCGCGCTCCTGGGTAACTCGTTCGCACTTTCTCTGTTTGCTGCGGGTAATTAGCCGGGCTTTTGGAGTTTATATGCACTTAGTGCTGTAGAGAATTCTATTGCGAACACAATGATACCGAATTTAATCTCGTAGGACGAGAATTAAGGTGACAAAGTTGAAGAGAGTATACACTTTTCAGAATTTACGCGCGCTCCCGTGACACCCTGGGTCCCATATCGCACTATTGAGGGGTGGCGTGCGGGGTGAGCAAAAGTGTTAACAACCCCCCATATACATTAAATAACAATAACAATAATTACTTTACCACATTATCTTACATTAAAAGCCTTGGTCCACATAGGCAGGATACAAGGTTTTACAATTAGGACAAGCTAGGGTAAAGTCTACTAGTGAAGAACTTGAAGCTTGAGGCAGCTTAGGGTAGGGAGTCCATGTGGTGTACCCTAACACAACATAACACTTAGGGGTACCCAAAACACTGGCTTATGCTACACAATATCTACACAAGTCTTACAATTCCAGTTGTATGCACGGTTACACATGAAGGTACTTAACTTGGTTGTTACAGGAACTTAAGGTAAGAGAAAGAGAGAAGGAAGAGGAGAATCCAGGCAGAGTCCCACAGGTAGGTCTCTACACCACACAGCCCGAACAGAGAAGAACGCAGCCAGCGTCCAGTCCAGAGCTCCAGAGTTGTTGTGGTTGCCGGAAAGAGCCTAATTGATCATACAGCTTATACACATTACTAATCTTCACCGACGTACAATATTGTTTACTTTACTCGTTCTAAGGATAGTTAATAATTACTTCACTTATACTTAATCCACAACAAGCTCAAGAGTCTGAATGCTCTGTGTGAACAAGATTCATCTTACATCTGGCAAGGAAGATAGGAGAACCAAGCATCAGCAAGCGCATTAAATAATGTAAAGTAAATTATACAGAGCTCAATTTGACCTCTGGCTTCCACTGAGGAACCCAGGGTCGTAACAGTGGGACTACATGGACCACTTCATTGTCTTCCACCCTCGGTGTTGCTGCAGCTGTGGTCCTACCTTTGGTTGTTTTTGGGGGGCACCTGAGTCACACATCGGTTGTTCGAGCAGCTATGTGGGAGACTGAACTGCACTGTGCTGGTCTTCCTGTCGGGTTGGATCTGGCTTCGGCGGCTGTTCTGGTTCCTTCAAGGACATCACATCTGCCGCTCTCGCGATCTTTGGGTTCGGCCCCCTGGGGTTTTGTGTTCTTTGCTGCATTGCCAGCTTCCTCTTAGGGTTTTTCGGTGTTCAGTGTCTTGGCGCCTATCTGAGCCTCTTACTCGATGTGTTGATGAATGCATCGTTTCTTGGCTGGGGCTTTGTTTCCAGGGGCTCACCAGGCCAGCCAAGGGTGGTGGGGTCCGTCCTTCCTTCGTAAACTCCCGCACTGCACGGTGCGGGAGTTTGCGGCAGTGTGGATATCGCTTCAGAGGGTTCGGGTTATTCATGGATCGATGATCCTGCTCCATTCGGACTGCTTCCGGTGGTTAATTGCCTGAACCGAGGGGGTTCGATGCGGTCCTTTGGGGCTGGTTGCTTTGGGTGACTCATCTACTCAGTTCTCGGGGTTTGGCTCTCCTGCTCATTCACATTTGGGGGGGGGGGGAGGTTTCCAATGTCCTGCCTGTCTTGGTTCATTCTCCTGTCCACAGAATGGACAGTCGTCGCCGACTCCTTCAGTTGGCTTTACCGGACATACAGGCTCCCGAAGGTTGACCTCTTTGCGTCGGCCGGGGGTGCATCATGTGTTGTATCCGGTTGCAGCTCTTCACAGTTACCTGCTCACCATTGCTTCGGTAACCGGGGACGTGCTTTGGGTTGACCTGGTTTCCCTTCTTTCCTGTTCCAGGGTTCGGGTCTCCCAGGTCGTCCACAGGGTTACTTGGTCCAGCCCGCAGCCCGCTCGTGCCCATGACATTCGTAAGTTTGCTGCGCTGGCTGTTCTCTTCGGTAACATGTCTTGGGCTGATATTCGGGCACGGGGTTTTTGGAGGTCGAACAGGGTCCTGGCCGCTCGCTACCTTATTCCTGGGTTCTTGTTGGCCTAGTCCTAGTTCCTAGTTCCTGGGCCTAGTCGGGCCTGTGTCGCGTTTGGTCAGCTGTTGCAACCAGTTGTCTCAACTTCGCGTTGAGGAGCGAGGGCTGACTGCCTTCCAGGTAAGTCCCTCTAAATTCGTCTTTGGTTAAATAGCCTCGGCGAGCCGAAGGGGGCTCCCCCCAGAAAACCTGCCTTAAATGTAATGAAACGCTAGTTTCTGGTTGAGACCCGGAGGCTCCCCGGCATCCTTCCCTCCCTCTGGTTGGCGCTTTTTTTGCGGCTTTTGACATTCAGCCTCAGAACTGCAGGGTGGATAGCTGGTGCAGGAGTCTGGAGCTCCCCTTCCCTCTCCTGGGAAGGTGGGGGAGGGGGGGTGCGCAGACAACGGTGTGGCGACTTGGAGACATCATGCTTGTTTGCTCATTTCCATTTGGGGAGTTCTCTCCACTGGTTCGTCTTTCAGTAGCAATATTTTAACCACAATAGGGGTTTGTTATGGGGCGCTTGCCTTTCTGGGTGCCTGACCCGGTCGATGGCAGACATAGAATGCTTCCAACCAAATGGGGGTTTCTATTGGGTATTGCTCCATGTGCCTCTCTGAGGGGGCCATGTTCTACCTTGTGGTTGCCGGTAGGCTTAGAACTCCATTTGCTTTGACTATTGCCAGGGTGTGATACATTCATATCAGCCCCATTAGCTCCTGGGAGCCTCTGGATCTCACCCAGAAACTTGCGTTTCATTACATTCAACGCTAGGTTTTTACAGCATGACAAATTGAGAGAATGGCCTTGTTTCAAAAGCTCAACTGCACCAGGAAGTGAAGGTTGCTTTGTGTTTTCTTTTATAGTGCAAGACATTAACTTAGGCTTGTGCAGTAAAAACATTTCATCTTTACTCAAAGCATTATTTATATTTAAATGCACATATCACTGATGCTTAACATTCATGGAAATCTTAGTAATTGAAAATTGAAGAAAGTGGTCATCTCTTCACTGATCATTGTATGCAGTCAAGTTTTTTTTTTTTTTTTGAAGCTTTGATATAAATTCTATAATTTTATCTGTAATTTTCCTTGCAGATTGTCGTCTTTGCGCATACGAAGTCTTCTATGTGTCCAAAATCTGACAAGCATGTTAAGCCTTAGTGACATAGGAGGAACAGAGCTTATGTACTCAACTTGGGTAAACTTAGGCATCAAGATCTTCCAAAATTCTTGTACTGGTAAGGATCATTGTTTTTCTGGAGGATCCTCCTGGAGATTCCCTGAAGCCGTCTCACTGAGTTTGCGTCCCACTGCTGAGTCACATCAGTCCATAGGAGTTTTGTATGGCCTACCTGGACCCCCCATCACAGAGTCACAGGGAGATGGGGGTTATTACAATCACCCTGAGTAATCATTGTCCAGAAAGTCAGTGAAGCCATACAAACAACTGCAAGGTTCACAAAAAACAAAATACCAAAACAGCCAAATGACTTAGCAAATTATTCACTCCATACGGCTCTGTCTCTATTGGCAGATCATCCCGGTGGCATACTAGTTGTAATAAACTTTTCCACTTCTCAGTGTCTGTGTTTTCTGATGCACATCTATTTTCATTTGTTTTGTGAAGAAGTGGCTGGAGTATTTGTGTCCCACCTCTATATCTCTTCCCGGCAACAGTATGAGGCTTCCTGGTGCTCGTTTCACCTCTTTCTGTCTCTTCGTCACTGATCCTTGGTTTCTGTCTCTTCATCACTGCACCTATGTTTCTGTCTCTTTGTCACTGCTCCTTGGTTTCTTTCTCTGTGGTACTGGCGGAGCCGCTTCAGTTTACTTTCGGTATTGGTGTTACGTCTGTTCCGTTTCACAAACTGTTGCGTGCGTCGTTTCACCTTCGGCCTGCTCATGCGCTGCCTGAGCTGTCCTGGTCATTGGACAGAGTGCTCTCTTTTCTTTCTTCTCCACGGTTTGTTGTGGCCCCTTCTGTTCAGGTTTGTTTCTCGGAGGCTCTTTTCTGTTGGCATTGGCCTCTAAGGGTTGGGGTCGGTGGGCTTCATGCACTCCTCTGGCGCAGGGGTTTTCTGCTCCTCCGGTCGTGGCGATAGGTTTGTTTGTTTGTCTGCACCTGTCTCCTTCTTTTCTGGCAAAGAATGACTACTGCTTTCCGGAGGGGTCCTTCGGTTATTGATGCTTGGCTGGTTGGGCCAGGGGTGCATCATGTTTTGTGTCAGGTTGCTGCCCTCCGCCATTATTTGCACACCACGGCCTCTGTGTCTGGGGATGCACTTTGGGTAGATCCGGTTTCCCTTCTTCACTGTTTGTGAGTGAAGGTCTCCCAGGTCGTTCGCAGGGTTATTCAGGCTGGCCAGCCTGTGGTCTATCCCCGTGCCTACAAAGTTTCCAAGTTCGCTGCTCTTGCTGCCGTTTTTGGCAACATGTTCTGGGCTGACATTCGGCTGCGGGGATCTTGGCAGTCATACAGGGTCCTGGCTGCTCGTTATCTTGTGAATGTTCCTGGGCCTAAGCGGGCCTGTGTCGCTTTGGGCCACCGGTTGCAACCAGTTGTCTTGGTTTCGACTTGAGGAGTGAGCAGCGACTGCCTCCCGGGTATATCCCTTTACTTTTCCTCTGTGGGTAGTTAGCTCCGGGAAGCCGAAGGGGCACCCTCAAGAAAACCAGCGTTAAATGTAATGAAATGCCGTTTTCTGGGTAATACCCGGAGGCTCCCTGGCATCCCTCCAACCCCCCGATCAGCTTTTTTTTCTGTGGGGAGCCCCTACGGCTCCCTGGAGCTTATCGGGCTAATGTGTGTTATGTTAGACCGGGACATTAGCTAAGGAGTTCAGACCTACCAGGGACCAGCGCCAGAACCTGGCCCCTTCAGAGAGGTTTCAGGGAGCAATGGCCCTGGAAAACCCCACATGGTTGGGGGTTTTCCTTATCTGCCATCGACCGGGGTTAGGCACCCAGAAAGGTAGGCGTAACAAAACAAACCCCACATGGTAAGAAACTACAACAAAAACCGAACAGAGAGGTAGAAAACTCCCTACAATCCCAAGGAAACAAGCAAACAAGCAAACATCACACTTTACTGCCGCGCCGATCGTCCGCGCAGCCCTCCCCACCCCGGGAGGGGGAGGGGGGAGCCCCGGACCTACCGCGCCGGCTGCAAAGCTCCAGTTCGTTCGCTAATGTCAACCGGGATTGACGCTTCTCTGGCCTCAGTTTCCTAGGCGGTGTTTGCCTTGTGTGGCGTTCACTGCCGTGTGTTGTGGTGTGCGGTGGCCAGGAGTACTTCATCAGTGCCGGGGCTGCATGTGCTTAGTGGCTGACTTCCCTAAGCGCCCTGTGAGTACTGCCCTTGCGTTACAGGGTTATCTTCCCTGGGGCGTTCGGGAACCATTCCCGTAGAGGTTCTTGCTGCTCGGCATTTGCCTCGCCCTTGGGGCCAGCTGGGGCTTGGGGCCCTTGTTTGGCCCTGGGTAGGGATTGGTATTGTGCTGGTTAGGGCGTCAAGGTGTTGCGCAGCCTGCCACCTAAGCGGCGGCCGGTTTCTGTTGCCTCTGGAGACGGTGTACTTTTGCGGGGTTTTTCTTTTGTTTTTCATTTTCTTGCCTGGTGGGGGTCTGCCTAAGGTGGTTATAGTTCCACTGGTAGTGTTTGGCGGCCCTCTGCTAGGCCCCCGTGCTTGTACACGTCTCGGGGGTTTTCAGTGCTATAATCTACCCTCTTGTTATGTTTGGGTTTCTTAACCGGTTAGCAACACCTTGCCCGGGCTTCCCGTAGTTGTTACCCTACGGGCCCTGGAAACCCCTGTCTGGGCTCGGGGGACCATTGAATGTGTCTTCCGGGTTCCAACCCGTCTTGTACGGGATCGTTGGTTGCTGTTCCCTTGTCTCCGGGTGACAGTCGCCATTTTTACCTCCGTCATGCTGCCTGTTGGGTCACTGACACCTTGACCCGGAGTCTTGCGAGTGATTCTCTGCTTGTTCTCCAGTACTCTCCTGATGTTAATTCTGTTCAGAGTACAGGCGGCATCCGTGTTGCAAGCTAGGTTAGGTTGCTGCAACATGCTAGGTTGGTTTCCCACTCGAATGCCCCGTGGCCGCCCCGTTTGGTTAGGTGCTGCTCGCCCCTTTCTCTCCATGTTCCCGGCTCCGGACCGTCTGCGTGTTTCTGGGTCGGGGCGGGGTTCAGTTGCGGCAGAGACTCGGGCGGTTTTCGGGGGATGCCCCGTTCGGGTTGGGGACGGAGGTTTGAGCCTGTGCCTCCTGCCAAGGCTTCTGGGTCTTACCAGCGGCCCTTTCTTGTTGCCTTTCCCATGGGCTCTTGCTTTTCTTTCAGGGCGGAGGGCTTGGAGGACGGCTCTGCCCCGGGGCCTCTGTTGTTGGTTCCCGGGGCTGTGGGGGATGCCTACTAGCAGTTCTGGGGCGGTTTTGCCCCTTCAGGGGTTTTTCTGCTTTTGGGCGTCGTTTTTCGCCCTTCCAGTCTGCTAGCTTCCCACATTTGCTGGCGTGTTTTTGTGTATTAAGCGTCAGTCACAGCCCCTGCTGGCGGCCATTTTCGTCTGCCGGTTTCCCGGCGTGGCCACCAGGGCGGCGTTGCGGTTTGTTTACATGCGTCTGGGTGTGCGAGCGAGCGTCTCTGGTGAGTTTTCAAAATATTTGCAGGGTTTTTGTTCTCCTGTTGTCGTTTCTTTGTTTTTCTGGTGTTTTCTTGCTGTTGCCTGTTCCTCTGGGAACGTTTGGGTGTTGATTTTGGGTCTGAGCCTCTGGGTTTAGGCTCAGTGCCCCTGGCTGGTATGCTTGCTCCCACACCTTGCCCCTCGGTTTTCGGTCTGTTGGGACCGTTTTCCCAGGGCGTTCTGCTGGGGTCTGTGCTTTGCCTTTTAGTGGTGTTCTCCGCCGGCAAATGTGGTGGTTTGGGCTCCCCCTGGTTCGATTCTGGGTTCCTTTGGGTTCCTTGGTTTCGTTCTGGAGGTTTCTTCCTCTTGGGCCCCCTTCTGTGGGTTCAGGGGACTTTGTTTCCTCGTGTGACCCGGTTCTGCCTTTTGGGGTTCCGGGGTCTTCCTGGCTTGCAGACTGAGCTTTTTGGGTCTTGGCACATGTTGTGGTTGTGCTGGGGCTTTGTGGTTTTGCTGTCGAGGTGGGCCTTTTGATGCAGTTTTGTGCCTTCTTTGCCTGGCCGGCGTAGTGCTCTTTGCCACTAGTCGGCGGCTTGTGCTTTTACAATATGTGTCCTCACCTAGTTGTGCTTGTGGGGGTTGGGCTCTGGCTCCTTGGTCCTGCCTCTCAACCGTCCGTCAACAGGTGTATCGGTTCCTGTGCCTCTTGGGCTCTGTCATGTCTACATGTGACATTGTATGGGGGTCAGCCTCGTTACTTGTGTGAGGAGTCGCCACATTACTTCTTAGTGCTTTCCCGTTCCCGTTCTGTCACTCAAAAAAAAAAAAAAAAAAAAAAAAAAAAAAAAAAAAAAAAAACTAATTCTATCTGTGGCTCTTTTGGGTACTCAGTTTCCACCTGTGTCCCCTAGTGCGTGTGCCCCTTGTGTTACATATCCTGTCCTTCTCAACCCTGTCGATTCCCTTGGGTATCTTGTATGTGGTGATCAGGTCTCCCCTCACTTCCTCTTCCAGCGAAGTGTGGTTTCATTCCCGTAGTCTCTCCTCATGACTTCGGTAGTGTACTTTTTCTTTCTGAAGGGTTCTGTTCCCTTCTCTGTTGACTGGGCGCTGGGGGAGCAGCTTGCTCTGTTGCCTCTCGCTTGGTCCCGCTGTTGGTGGGCGCTTTGGGTTGTCTTCCGGCCTCTGCTGGCGTCGGAGGACGGCTTCTCCCCCTTGGGGGGGGTTCAGAGCTGGCGGGGTGGGCTTCTTCCCTGCGCTTCATTTCCTCTTCGTGGGTGCGTGGGGCGTGGTTGATCCGCCCCATCCTTCTGGGCTTCCCGTCTGCTCTTTGCAGTCATGAGCTTTTCCAGTCTGCAGTTCTTCTGGACTACTACCGTCTGCGCCCTGGATCCTCTGCCCTGCTCGGAGGACTGTTGTCTCCTGTTCGGATTCTGTTAGGGCCGGGTGCATGGATGGTGGACCTGGACCTCCAGGTCACTTCTTGGCACGTTCCTCTCCAGTTTTTCTGGGGCTAGCACGGTTGGTAATTACCTATGTGTACTTACCTAAGTGTAGTTACAGGATGAGTGCTACTCTCGTGGTGTCCCGTCTTCCCAGCACTCTTTGTCATATAAT